GTAAAGAAGAAGGACGGCAGCATGCGGTTTTGTGTTGACTACCGCCGCCTGAACGACGTTACGAAGAAGGACAGCTATCCCTTGCCAAGAATTGATGACACGCTGGACATGCTTACAGGCGTAAAGTGGTTTAGTACGCTGGATCTGAAAAGTGGCTACTGGCAGGTTGAAATTGACCCTAAGGACAAGGAGAAAACTGCATTCTCCACAGGAAAGGGTCTGTGGCAATTTAAAGTCATGCCGTTTGGATTGTGCAATGCTCCAGCAACGTTTGAAAGGTTGATGGAGCTTGTACTTACCGGGCTAATTGGAGATGCCTGTCTCGTCTATTTGGATGACATCATCATCGTAGGCCGTACGTTTGAGGAGCACCTTCAAAACCTGGAACGCGTGCTCATGAAGATCCAGAGTGCCAACCTCAAGTTGAGTCCAAAGAAGTGCTCACTATTCAAACGGCAAGTTAGTTTTTTGGGGTATGTAGTGTCGGAAGAAGGTATCCGCACGGATCCAGAGAAAATTGCTGCTGTCAAGGAGTGGCCGGTCCCAAAAGACAAGACACAGGTTAGAGCATTTTTGGGTTTGTGCTCTTATTATCGGCGATTTGTGAAGAACTTTGCAGATATAGCCAAACCTCTGCACAAGCTAACCGAGGAAACGCGACATTTCTGCTGGGATGAAAGTTGCGATATTGCATTCCAGGAGCTCAAGAATCGTCTGTGCAAAACACCTATTTTGGGGTACCCTGATGCGGGCAAGGAATTCATAGTTGACACAGACGCAAGTGATATAGGACTTGGCGGTGTGTTGTCTCAACGGAATGGTGATCAAGAGATTGTGATAGCGTACTTCAGCAAGTCGTTGTCAAAGCCGGAAAGGAACTATTGTGTCACAAGACGGGAATTGCTTGCTGTGGTAAAGTCCTTGCAGCATTTTAGCAAATATCTTCTAGGGCGGAAATTCCACTTAAGAACTGACCATGCTGCACTGAAATGGCTATTGCAGTTCAAAAATCCGGAAGGACAAGTTGCGAGATGGATTGAACTACTGCAGGAATACGACTTTGTGATCGAACATCGCAGCGGGAAATCTCATGGCAATGCAGATGCATTGTCAAGAAGACCTTGCCCTGAAGATTGCAAGCATTGTACTAGGCAAGAGGGTAAGGAAGTGGTATCTGTGAGAATGCTCAGGACAGACCAGCTCAGCAATGAGTGGAAGGACAGCTTACAACATGCACAGCAGGAAGATTCGGACATTAAGCCGATTCTGGAATGGATGAAGGCCAGTGCTCCTAAGCCCAAGTGGAGCGACGTCTCAGCAATGAGTTCGACCACGAAAAGCTATTAGGCCCAATGGGACAGCTTGCTGATTCAGGATGGAGTCCTGTGCCGTAAATGGGAAAATGGTCGGGGAGACAGGTGTCATTTGCAAATGGTTGTCCCTAAGGCTAAAGTGCCGGATATTCTACAGCTGTACCATAGTAGTTGTTCAGGAGGCCACCTGGGAGTTAAAGGAACTCTCCTGAAGATACGAGAACGGTTTTACTGGGTCCACTGTCGTGACGATGTCGAGGACTGGTGCCGCAAATGTACAAGTTGTGCGGCTGTAAAGGGACCTCAAATTCGTAGTAGAGGCGCATTGAAATTGTACAATGTTGGTGCACCATGGGAGAGGATAGCCATTGACGTTGCGGGGCCGTTTCCAGAAACTGAAAGTGGTAACAAGTATTTCATGGTTGTGATGGATTACTTCACTAAGTGGCCAGAAGTTTTCGCCATTCCAAATCAAGAAGCTTCAACCGTTGCAGATAAACTAGTTCATGAAGTCTTCTGTCGTTTTGGAGTACCTTTAGAGATTCACAGCGATCAGGGAAGGAATTTTGAGTCTCAAATATTCCAGGAAACTTGCCGAGTTATGGGTACTCAGAAAACACGAACAACTTCTTACCACCCACAATCTGATGGAATGGTAGAAAGATTTAATCAGACATTGGAGAGGTACCTAGCAAAAGTTGTGGAAAAACGGCAACAAGACTGGGACAGGCACATACAACATTTTTGTTGTCATATCGAAGCGCTGTTCACGAAAGTACATCAGTGACACCAGCTTTCGTAAACTTTGGGAGAGAATTGCGGCTGCCTGCAGACCTGATCACCGGAATACCACCTGATGCCCCACGCAGTATAACCGATTATGCAAATGTCTTGCGGAACAAAATGAATGACATTTATGAGCACGTCAGACAGACGGGCCAGCAAACGTCTGAGAAGATGAAAACACGGTATGACCGCAAAATGAACAACAAGGGGTTTGATGAAGGTTCACTAGTGTGGTTACACAATCCAGTTCGCAGCAAAGGGAAATCTCCTAAGCTTCAAGCTAAATGGGACGGACCGTACCGGATTGTGACAAGGATCAATGACGTAACCTACCGGATACAGAAAGATGTCAGAGGTACTCCTAAGATTGTCCATGTGGATCGACTGGCGCGTTATTATGGGGCCAATAATGCTCGGGACGAGCATGTCTTAGGAGGGGGCAGTGTTACGCGCCACTATTAATGTCTTGTACATGGCAACACTAGTTACACTAGCGCCCTCTAGTGTCGAGTAAAAGAAAGTATTGCGCGCCACTATTAATGTCTTGTACATGGCAACACTAGTTACACTAGCGCCCTCTAGTGTCGAGTAGCAGAACTAGGAGAATCGAGATTCTTCCAGAAATTTCGGGACCGATATGTACTCGAACATTCTAGATGTCGCTACAGTGGAAGGTTCTGGAAACTGTCTGAGGCCTATATAAGGCCGGTATGGACCACGACCAGGGCAGTATTGAATTGGCGATACAAGAGAATACTTCGAAGCGAAATAACGGCGAACTGTGTTTTATTATTAGTGTGATTTTAGATTGTAATTAGTGTTGTGTAATTAAAGTGTCAATTTTGGTAATTCAATCGGCAGTTTTTAATTGTCTCGAACCCCAAGTGCGTAACAATATTAATACTAGCTGTTCCCCGCGACTTCGCCCGCGCGTAATTTAGGGTTTTAATTATGTTGCGCGGAACACTAATTCTTTTTCTAAAATATAAGTAGTCTAAGTTACTCCTTATAACGTCAGCTATCTGCCAGTGAAAGTCCCGTCGAAATCGGTCCAACCGTTTCGGAGATTAGCCGGAACAAACAGACAGACAGATAAAATTTTAAAAATTGTGTTTTTGTTATAAGTACCGTATATACTTTCATATGCATTTAGTAAAAAGCTGTTATTTTGATATTAGAAACAGACACTTCAGTTTTATTTATTTGTATAGATATTATTCTAATAATATTAATATATTATATACTAGCTGTCCCTCGCGACTTCGCCCGCGTGGAATTTACTATGATTTTAGTTTTGTTGCGCAGAACCCTAATTATTTTTAAAATATAAGTAGCCTAAGTTACTCCTTGTAAAATGAGCTATCTAACAGTGAAAGTCCCGTCAAAATAGGTCCAGCCGTTTCAGAGATTAGCCGGAACAAACAGACAGATAGACAGACAGACAGACAAAAATTTTAAAAATTGTGTTTTTATTATAAGTACCGTATATACTTACATTATATATATATATATATATATATATATATATATATATAGAGAGAGAGAGAGAGAGAGAGAGAGAAAAATATGATATTAAAAATATATACTACTAGCTGTTCCCCGCGACTTCGCTCGCGTAATAGGGTTTTTATGTTTTTGTGCGGAACGCTAATTATTTTTCTAAAATAAAAGTAGCCTAAGTTACTCCTTATGAAATCAGCTATCTTCCAGTGAAAGTCCCGTCAAAATCGGTCCAGCCGTTTCGGAGATTAGCCGGAACAAGCAAACAGACAGACAGACCGACAGACAGACAAAAATTTTAAAAATTGTGTTTTTGTTATAAATATAAATAGGTCATCATAGTGGTCAAAACTACTCAGATAGACGCTCTGATGCTATAGATGGCATCTCATTTCATTTGTAAGTAATTTTACTCCTACTTTATTAAAATAGTTCTAGAAAAATCTCTGCGTCGGCTTTCAAATATAGTTAATGTTAAAATAAAAAATTTTGTACAGCCGACTTCAATATAAGTTATTAAGAATAACTCAAAAACAACTGGTCTGACCTTGATCAAATTCATATGGGACCACATGTGAAGTACCAGATTTCAAATAAAAAAAAGAATCATCGAAATCGGTTCACCCAGTAAAAAGTTATGAGGTAACACACATAAAAAAAACATACAGTCGAATTGAGTAGCGTGTCCTTTTTGGAAGTCGGCAGAAAATATAAAGGTTCGTAGAGCTTAGTATTGGTAAAATAATCATACGAAGGCGCTGAAATTTGTTTTGCATTCAGTCCTAAAGAATTTTTAATCGCCTAAATATTATTTTTATAGTTTAATCATTTTGTGAACAGGCCGCCATCTATCGTCAAGGTAACCTACTACTAACTACGTTACCTTAACTACGTTAACTACATTGCATTGGAACGATTCGAGTAGTTTTACTATTAATCGGTAGATGTAGATAGTAAAGTGGGCGAGGCTTAACATACCCTCACCCCGCAAATTGTCACACGAAATCTAATTACAACACCTCCTCTTTGTATTTGCTTCATGGGTGGGAAGCAGTGGCAATAGGTTAAAGATGTATATTTATGTTGGAACTTTATCGACAAAATTGGCGATATATTGAAGACTTAAGAAGGTTAAATTAAGTCGACCATTAACCGAGGACACTGTATTGTATGCGTAGAAATATGTATGTGAAAGCGAGAGAGGTGTGTGAGGTCCCTGAGGGTAATATGCGTGAGAGTTAATGTTATGTTTATGCAAATGTTATTCCTATTTACAGATGTTCCTTATTGCTTTATCGACAGTAAGGCGCTATAAACTACGCGTTAATTGAAATAATTTACAAAGAGAAAAATCAAGCTTAAATCATAAGTTTAACATTTGAAAAGATAATCTTCACTTACCTAACAAATAATGCGAGAAGCTAATGTACTCGAGGATATCAACGTCGGTGAAGTTGTAAACATCTTTTTCGTCGTTGTATTTACGCAGAGCTTCCATCATCCAGCTCAACGAGTTCTGATAGTCTTTCTCGTTGTAAAGCGTGCGTCCGAGTTCGTAGCAGTCGCCAGCCGTCATTGGAGTGCTATAGGGTTATAACGTATTTAAGCGTTAATTAAAAAACTAAATCGGGAACTAAACAGCACTAACAGAAATTGTTTGTTGTATTCATAGGTATGTACAATACAAAGCCCACAACCCTGGACGTTGTTTGTATTGAATTTGGTTCCCTTTTCTCATTGATGTATTTGGTGGTATATCATAAATTTTTGACAATATAATTTATTTTATTTTATTAATTTTAATAAATCCCTGACGGGGTAGCCAGAGAGAACAGATCGCCAAGTGTCACGATCCTTACATACCTCTATTTTTAATATCCTTACATACCTCTATATTTTAATAAATACATATATTACCCTCAATGTTTTCTATTTTTAACTTAAACTATAATTAAATGCCGGTTTTCGTGAAATGTCGAAATTTTTGGTGACGTAGATCGAACAGATCGAGAGTAGATCGAACTTTGTCATCGACATCTGTCGACATCAAATATTGATAATTTGTTATATTTTCCTTTGTATACATATTTCCTTTACATTACAACAATGATTGTAAAGTATTTTAAATAACCTTGAAGTGGCCTAGGTTTTTAATTTACTTTACAGACATTAATTACTTAAAAATCAATAAGTTAATTTATGAAAATGATTCTAGGTGTTCTAGGGGTCCTTATTAGACATACAATATACGTAATGATAATGTGTAGGCTGTAAGTTATGGGGGGTTCAAAAGTGGCTCGAAACGGTGTGTACACACACTGTCGGTACATCGTCTTTTTCTTTTCACACACTGCCGTCTATCTAGGTTAGTGTATTTTATTGAGTATCTGGTTTACTACCGAAATAAAAATGGAATACACAAAACTAAAAAACAATTATAACAAATTTCATGAATACTGACTGATTTACTGACTCATTCATCAAATACCTGGACCTTTTCAAGATGACTTACGAAGAAATTAGTAATTGTGCATCAGGATAGATTTTAAACTACATAATTATCGATATTCGGCGCTAAATCAAAAATTTAAAACAGTGAAGTGTAAATGCAAGAAATAACGTTGAAGGTACTACCTATACGTGGTAGAGCCATGCTGCAGCTATATTAGCAGTATAGTTGTAGCACGAATGGGTCGGCTCGACCGGGGGTAAAATAGCAGCTTAACGCTGCTGTGTTTCGTATGGTGAGTGTAGAGAACCGGAGACCCCTGTTACTGGCAAAGAGGCATTCCATCTTAGTCCTCACGGGTGACAACGCATCTGCATCTTGAGTCTTTATTGAGGATAGATGTAGATGTCTATGGGTCACAGTAACCACTTACCATCAGGTGGACTGTGTGCTCGTTTGTCACCCTATCCTATAAAAAAAAAGAAAAGAAAAGATAAATGTATTTAAAAGGATTTTCTATACTAAAAAATTAATGACATCTCGCAAAAAAACATAATTGAGAAAACAGGCAAAGTTCGGTACAAAAACGGTGTTGTCGACTTCGCCGATAAAAGTTTGCCTTTGGGCATATACAACGTTCTAGGAACTGCTCCATGGCAGTTCTGTGAGTAAGCGTGGCCCGTTCAGATCTCATCTGTTTTATCTAAATTATATTTTCTAAAATTAAAATCCACAAAAGTTCGCGTTACCTAAATATATTATTTTAGCTGTAGACTAACAAAAATAAGATATATTCCTCATAAACGTTTGAACCTCCAAACCGATTGTAAGTTTTTACGGTTGAGCCAAGCTCTCGAAACGTTTGTAATTCAAATCCGTATAATTAGTTTGATTAAAAAACACGGATGCTTTATAACTAATACATATGCACTCATATTTATTTACTACAGCTGCTGAATATAGGCCACAACCACAACAACCTCCAATAAATTGTTCTATAAAGAGAATATTTGCTATAATTGCCACGCCACGCTTGGCAGGCGGGTTGGCAAACATAGATTTTTATTATTTTGAGTTGTTCTCAGGAATATGGTACTGCCCATCTACTATTTCAGTTTCACTTTGACACCCACGGCGTAATACGGGGTATTCTCTAACGCCGCCACTACACGGCATATACTCGTTCTCGTTGCGGCCTATTAAAGTTCACAGCTGAACATAGGCCTCCCCCATAAATTGCTTCATAATTGTCATAGTTGCCACACTTGGCAAGCGGGTTGGCAGCCGCAGTATTTTTTTAGTCGTTATCAGGAAGACGCTGCTGCCCATCTCCTGATTTGTTTCCCTTTGTCGCCTCTTACAACACCCACGGGATGATACGGGGTAGTGGATATTCTTACACCGCCACTACTCGGTAATAAACGATAAACTTGTACATAATATAATAAAATCTTAATACTTTAAGCGAGCAAACCGGAACGATTCTCGATTGCGCAGCGCAATCACCCACCTATAATACAATTTATACACAAACATAAATTTTCACACAGTGTTAGCATACCTATCCCAAAAAAACCTTGAACACTTTTCATGAATACAGTTTATTAAGCAAGTTTTGACATAAATACTTCCCTCCACCAAATGTTTCTTTATTCATTTGTTTACATAACAAATTATTTGTTTCACGGATTAATGATATATTTTTTTACATGACGACTAGCTAAATTGCGTGACCAATCACCAAAGCTAATTCCATCCCAAACATATAACGGTTTAATTTAAAACTTACGTAATTAAAGGTGGATACTTGATTCCTCTGAAAAGTAGAACCCTTAAGCTTAGATTCATGCATAAATAGTCTATACAGAGTTATTTTTCAAGGAGTAGCCAAATTTTAAACTTAAGTTCAAATATATATTATACAGTTATTGCAGTTTTTGAATAAACGAGAGTAAATAAGGCTTCTTATATTTGAAATTATCTCAAATTGAATGTGATTTATGGGCAACTACGCGTACGCGCGCTCCTCTGTGTGCGATTCAATTCACAACGTTTTTGCCAACTGATCGACCCCTACGCATGTGTGCGTGCGCAGTAAAATCAGTTAAAATAATGCATTACCACGCATTTTGAATTTAAAAGATAAAAAGGACAGAATGTTTTAGATTTATTTTGCCTGTCTTACTTATTCTGAACCTTCTCTGCAAATTTTGCAAAATAACCCCATAAAGTTATATAAAGTGGCAGGGGTTTTGAGCGCTGACCTCTTTACATTCGCCAACATGCGCAGTTAACTTTTTAAGTATGGTTTGCTTCTTTGTTCAGCAGTCGATGATTGGCGCAAGCGCCTTACGAGTTATTATTGAAATAAATATTGATTTAAATAGTGAATTTGCGCAAACTAGCTCCACCGACACTCCTATATCAGCCGAGTGGTTTAGTGGTCAGGTACACTCAATATCTTATCTCATCAGCCCGTAAGTCTGCCGCTGGTTATAGGTCTCTCCAGGTATAAAGAGGATCTGCCTTATTATCGCTAGACTTGGCAGGCGGATTGAAGATCACGCCTTCGATGCTGCTGTCTGCCCCGGTCTGGTTATTTAATATCTAGCGTAAGCGTAATGGTTATATTATCAGAAGTCATATGATTTCTTAGGCGTTTCTTATAGGGGATAAGAGGTTGCTCTTACCCCCACGGGACGAAATGGGGTGGTGGATTCTCCCATACCGCTACACGGCAAAGAACTTGTAAATATCCAGTGGATATTTACATCCATTGACAATATTACTGCTTAAGGACTGGGCGGACCGCGCGTTAAAATAGCGCCACTAAAGTAGTCCTAAAATGGTATTCTTTATACCGAAGTGAATTAGTCGCGCGGTCGGTTGTCGGAGGAACATTCGGTTGCACGAAGTACTACAAAAAGCATAGAAAAAAATAATGACCTTTCATATCCGGTCACCGGTAAGTCAAAAGTATGTCATAAAATAAATTAAATAAACTTGCTTACATTATTAAAACTATTTTGTTTCCGAAATGACTCATAGTTTGGTAAAGACGAAGAAAAGCCACGCCACGCGTGTCATACGGATGTGCAATATAACTTTGCATTTGTTGCTCTGCAACGCGATCTTGTGGGCACATTAAGGTGGAAGCCGATGAAGTAAGTATATTTATTCTTATGTACAAAATTAGTATTACCTAATTAATAATAGTAAAGTACAGTGAAAATGCATATTTATTTGCAGATTTCCTACAAATTTGATTCCGTGCAAAATTCAGTGTGGAGTAGTTTCATTAGGCAGGAAGGTGGTGAACCATATTATACATTTTTGATATGTGGATCAAATTGATACGTGTTTGTTTCACGCACTTCAAAGCAAATGTATTAATGTTAATCTCATTTCGAGTATCAACAAAACTTTTAAAAATTGCAGATGTTTTTTTTAAGAAATGCAATAAGCATTGTATTCATTCATATAAAAATATTTTTATTAATATTGATTACCTATGATTACTTTCTCACGATGTTGACGAATGTTATTTCTAAGTTTTTTTTTCTTTGCGACCTCGGTTACGTTCTAACAAGGATACGTCTTTTAGACAGCCCACATCGATCACGCCAATCACATCGTAGTTAAAATTAGTTCTAATAGATGGCGCTAGTTTCTTCCAATACAGAAAACGCGTCAGGAAAACATTCCGGCGACCGTATCTTTACTTTTTAAATGAATGGGAATATCAAAAGTTATTCTCACCTGTAAATAACGCCATTAAGTCGTCCTTCGGCTAATTCACTTATATCCAAATGGTAGGTGTCTTGAAGTCTTGTAAGTGCCTGCGCAGCTCCAGTTAGATCTTCCAATGTAGGATACTTGACATCCGCGTGACTCACAGTTATGTTTTTAACGTATTCTGAAGAGTAATAAGGGAAGAATTGATATTTAGAATTATCGCTATTCGATAATGTGCATAGCATACAATTATTTATATTTATATATTTATTAAATTTAAGGTAAGTACTAAGTACTTAATTGAAATAATTTGTAAATATTTGAAGACCATTTTACGATTAGAGAATGAGAAACTTTTATAGATAAAAGAAAAAAACATAGAAGGCATAGCTTATATTTCAGAGCTCTTAGCAATTTCTAAAAACGTTATTCAAACTTCATCCTGGGTCCAAAACTGTTCGTCTTATGCACAGCGGATATTAAAAATGTAGTGAGTGACACACTCTCACTATCACTTCTATGCCAATGACACTGCCAATTATACCTACCCATAAACGATAATATTACACCCACGGTAACCAGTTTAAATACCGTTTTAAAATAGGGAAATAGGCGAAAACTCATGGCTCAATCCTAAAACCCAAAAAAAAAACTCGTAACGCAAGTTACGATTTAGTTCACGTTGCCTTAAAGTAGCATAATTATGAGCTCACGTCATCAGGTAGCAATGATTCAAAAACTACCAGATGTAATGATCAATGCCACAATTATTCCTGGAGTACGTAAATGTATTGGTAAAAGGATTTTCATAGATGTGAAGATGTGTGTTTTTTAAACACTTTACAAAATTCGTCCTTTTCTAAAACCAAATACCTGGCGTTACCTTTGAGATTTTTTATGCGATCCTGGTAATGATAGAAAGAAAAAAGAGTTCTACCTGTGCCATTACTTCTTCATTTTAATACAAATTTTGTCTTATTTCTAATGGTTCGTTGTAATGGTTTAAAAAATACGAGAACTATAACGAATGAGTTGTAGATGTTATAAAAAAGAAAAATATTAGTCAGTATGAGACATTGAATGTGCACTACGTACTAAAAGGCACCACGAACAAAATCTGTGCGGCACGGTAGTGCGGTGTGCGTGGAAGGAGGCATAGGCAGGCCTCTGCCACTCTTGCTACCTGCGTGAAATAATTACCTACAATCGCGAGCTGCCCCAGGGGTAGATCGCAGTCGGGGCTAGCGCGCTCTACGCGATTGAATGTCGAAAAAGCTTTAACATGTTTACGTAAATAATTTTTTTATAAATACTTATTGAAATACTCGTCGAAATAGTTTTTATTGTATGATAAAATAGTTGAAAAAGTTTTAATGTAATTTAAGAATAATATATATGTATATTACCTATCTATTTGATAAATTATAATGGCAAAACGTCGTTCCTACTATAATTGTTCCGGGGATGGATGCTTAATGAGCTTAAAAGGATTCAGATATATCATTTTTTGAGTTACTCACGTTACGTTATTTACGTTATTTTTTTTGTTAGAAAGGTACTTATAGCGAATAAATAAGTAATAATTTAACTACAGAAGTAATACCTAAGTACTTTATTACAAAAGTTAGTTGAAATTTACTTCACTACCCAAGTACCTACTTACATACCTATATTCGTTTATGTAATTAAAATATTTTAAGTTAAAAGCTTTTACAAAAATTTACTTCGCAAATATCCGCGTTATAAAATAAAATGATGTGTCTTACCTAGTATGAAGAAGCACCTCCCGCCCTCCCTCAATTGCGTGCACTATCCCCGTCACCACTAATCCCAGCACCGCTACTTCCAACACCACTACACTAGGCAAGACACACCACTGACAATAATACGACACGTGTTTCGCCTCTACACGAGGCATCCTCAGGTGATATAGACTCTACGGTGGCTAACCGCTAAGTGAGCGGCGAGCCAAAACAAGTGCCTTTTATACAAACCGATGATGCAACCGCTCTCTACCTAACGAGCGAGCGATTGCGTCATGCGATAAAACATGCGACCAATCACCGCTGGACTTACGCAGCCGTTTGTAAAATTAAAAACAAACCGCCGCGCAACGCCCACATTATTAGAGAGCAGGCTTGAAGATATTTAAGAGAGGTGAGTTAGTAACATTTGTTTGTTCATTCAGCAATGCAACGGTATTATTATTACTTTTTAATATCTCTAACTGTTCCAGCACACACAGCCGCAGCCCTTTATTACACGTATGTAATACTTTAAAGGAGTGGTCGTTGGCTAGGTTGTGTCCAGTGTCCAAAAGATGTTTGGCAAAATGGGATTTATCGGGATTGCAATTCCTGTACGCGGCTAAATGCTCTTTATAACGTGTCTCGAAATTGCGACCAGTCTGACCCACGTAAACGGCGTGGCATTCGTCACAAACAAGTTTGTAAACACCTGATTTTTGACGAATATCTAACTTATCTTTACTATTACAGATATTTCTAAGAGAATTGTTTGTTTTGAACGCCACATGAACGCCGTTTTGTCGAAGAGTATTAGCCACTTTTTCAGATATGGGGCCTAAGTAGGTCAAACTGCTCACATATCGATGAACACTTTGAGGTTGAACCGCGTACAGAGAGTTGCGAATAACATGCTTTTGTTTCTTTTTAATTAAATTGTTAATGAGATTTTTTGAAAAACCGTTAGAGACCGCTATTTGATAAATTATATTAAGTTCTTTTAAATAATTTTCTTTACTTAATGGGACAGTGAACAAACGGTTAATGTAACAATAAAAAGCGGCTACTCTATGTTGCCATGGATGACATGATGACGCGGGGATGACCGTGTCGGTGTGAGTTGGCTTTCGATAAATTTGGAAAACATGTGACGATTCTTTTCTTGTTATTGTTAAGTCAAGAAAATTAAGGGAACAATCTTGTTCCAATTCAAGTTTAATTTTGTCATGGACTCTATTTATTTTATTGAGGAAAACATCCAGTTGTCTCCTTGTGCCAGTCCAGCAAATAATTATGTCGTCTACATATCGATAGTAATATAAGATATTTTGATTGACAACTATATGTTGTTTTTCGAAATTATCCATGAAAATGTCCGCCATAAGGGGACTTAGAGGGGACCCCATAGCTAACCCTTCTTTTTGTAGATAGAAACGGTTATTAAACCGTCAGTGGTGTGTCTTGCCTAGTGTAGTGGTGTTGGAAGTAGCGGTGCTGGGATTAGTGGTGACGGGGATAGTGCACGCAATTGAGGGAGGGCGGGAGGTGCTTCTTCATACTAGGTAAGACACATCATTTTATTTTATAACGCGGATATTTGCGAAGTAAATTTTTGTAAAAGCTTTTATATAATGGATTTCCGCAAAGTAACGCCTGATTCTATTAATTATATTTTAAGTTATAATAGCACAAAATACTGAAATTAAAACTTTGTTTACAAGCTTTTCAACTAAGTAGATTACGATCATATTTCTGTTAAGAATCGTATTTCGGGTTTATTTCTTGTTTACGCTATCTACCTATACGAACCAAGCATCGCGATTTTCGACGAACGGCCTTGCATGTTGCATGCGTTGGACATCACAGAACTCACATAGTAGATAATATTATGGTCGATTATAGTCAGCATAGGTACTTTACCTAAGTAACTTACCATTTCACGATGTTTTTTACTCTTTATTACCATCCATTAGCAACCACGGACAGTCTGTTGTGACGTACTAAGGAGAAAAGATGCAAAGTAATACGGACCCTCACGCGCAGCGATAAAGTTTTATTTAGCTTTCGTGCGCGATTTATCTGATTAATAATAACTATGTAGGCTATTAAAACGTCGGCAAGCAGTTAACATCAAGAGAGTGCAACTTCTGTACGTAGTACTATTATTTATTCTGTGGCATAAGGCACATACTAAAAAAGTTGGAGCCCGCGGGCTATAATGCATATTACAAATAACCAAGTCTCGGCGTTTTTTGTTATACGTAATACATATCATATTTCAATGGTATTAGATTTATTTTTGAATAATATTTAAGAACGTCTTGTATTCGGTGACAATCACTGCAAATCCTTCTTAAAAATATTCTTAATTATTTGTAATAGCGGAAGTTCAAACTAGTATGCGCATTATTAAAGAAGCCTACATCCAGCAGTGGTTAGAAAAAGCTGATAAAGTGGATTATTGTTATATAAAACGTGTCAAATGCCAAGAATGGGAATAGAATTACAACTCCGACGTAAATGCCTCGACTAACTTATTGGCTAGAATAAAACACCTATCAAGTACGTTAGGGGCAAAATGGATGACGCATCAGACGAAGAAATTACTCGCCTGTCACTTTTCGCGATCTAGAATATATAATAGAATATATTCTATGATCAGTGTATATATAATATATACACTGATCAAAGAAGTGAAGAACATTATCCAGTATCGTCTGAGAAACCTAGTATATATTTATATAGACAACACGCCTTCGTAGTACAAAGAACTATTCTTGTTTTATTTTCTCAAACCTAAGATTCTTATTAAACACTGCATTTTAAAGTAAGTTTCAAGAACAAAAACCGGTCGCGGTTTTGTCTTGCTTCGGATTCAGGTCTCATTCCTATGGTAAATATGTAGCACAAAATTGCTATTGCAGATCACGAATTTTTAAAGCCGTTATTTATTTTACAATTCCATATGAATGGCATTCACTCCAACGCCGTTAAACGCCTTTATAATTCATACCGAGTTACAAGTAAAGTAAGAAGATAAGGCCGTGGAAGTTGTGCTAATCGGATTCGATTCAGGCGGCAACACAAAAATTATTAATCGCAACTGTAAGGGCGATGTAACTACTGTGACGGAAATCATCTAAATATCTGAGATTAAAAGTATACCAACCAACATGCATCGAGTCAGCACTCAGAAACTTTTATTATTATTTATTATTATTAAATTAGTAAAGGGATGTTGGTAGCATTTATCTTCTGTTATTTTTTTTTTATAGGATAAGGGTGACAAACGAGCACACAGTCCACGTGATGGTAAGTGGTTACTGCGGCCCATAGACATCTACATCTATCCTCTATTATAATTCAAAATGCAGATGCGCTGACACCCGTGAGGACCAAGATGGAATGCCTCATTTCCAGTAAAAAGGGCCTCCGGCCACCTGCACTCACCAAGCGAAACGCAGCGGTAAACCTCTACTTCACGCTGGTATTCTGTGAGATCGTGGTACCACCCCGGTTCGAGCCGGCCCATCCGTGCGATGGCTCTACCACTGTTACTTTATAATCGTCGATGCGACTGTTAATGATCGTGCAAATTCTGCACGACTTTACCGATAGAAGTTTCACATAACACTACTTGTACTATTATCTATTCTGTGATAATACCTACCTATATTTAATATCGAGACGATGATCGATAGCTAAGCTAGGTTCCTATAGGTGACGATGTAGTCAAGTTATTAAAAATTCTATATTTATGGACCAAAATGACGCATATTTACAATATATTATGTTGATTGAGTACCAAAAATATCATATCATAATCCCGAAAAAGGATGCCTTAAATATTGTGCATAAATCCCAATATAATGTTTTTTTTTATAATATTTTTTTTATAGTATATGGTGACAAACGAGCACACAGTCCACCTGATGGTAAGTGGCTGCTGTGGCCCATAGACATCTACTTTTATTCTCGTTTGCGAATCAAAATGCAGATGCGTTGCCACCCGTGAGGACTAAGATGGAATGGCTCGTTTCCAGTAAAAAGGGTCTCCGGTTCTCTACACTAACCATACGAAACACAGCAGTGTTAAGCTGCTATTTGACGCTGGTATTCTATGAGAGCGTGGTCCTTCCCCGGTCGAGCCGACCCATTCGTGCTACAACTATACTACTAATATAGCTGCAGCATGGCTCTACCACGTACGTAATATTCTATCACTCCTGGAATAATGCCAATATAATGTGGCATCCAGGAGTGATAGAATATCGAAATTTCAATCTCTCTTGACAACTTCAAGTTTCTCATCTTTTTCAAATAAGATATAAAAAGTAAAGAAACAACTTATAAACATCACAATAATTCTAGACACATACTACCTTTACTACAGGCTGATTTTAGTTATTTTAACATGATCAAAAGGGCATAATTACTATAAATCTCTGACTGGATATATACACCCGTTCTAAGCTTTTTTAGCTATAAAACTAACATGTAAACACATCAATCGTCTATAATTATAAATAGCAAGGCCATAATTGGCGAAATATTATGTAAGCAAGCGACGCTAAGTAATATTATCACTGTACGGTACTAACGTGCTAACAGGTTGTATGATTTCATTTATGTTATGTTAGAGCAAACATATTTTAATGTCACAGCTGTTCCTATTATTTATTCACTGTCGTTTGATGCTTACATATCTTAACTATGCAACAAGTGTATGACGCAATTTTACAAAAATATAAACCGTTCGTGTATAGTTAAAAGGTCATGCTTCAAAGTTTTATTTAATGTGAAACAAGTTTTTAATATTTGTGTGACACAAAGTTAACGAAACAATAATGAAGTAAAACCTATATAAATTTACTTTTTCTGCATTTTAATATTTATATTGACACATGTAATTGTCACAATTTGTGTCATCTGATAATTAAGTTCGACATATTATTTTAAACTGTTATAAGGGAGACTGTTGCTCATCTGTTTCCCTCTGTCACCTCTTACGACACCCACGGGATAAAATATGATAGTGGATAATCTTAAACTGCCACTGCACGGATTTCTAAAATATTCCATAGTCAAAGTAACAAAAAATATATGTATAAATAAAACTAGTTTTTAAGAATTTCATCGCGTATATTAACTATTTCGAGCACTTTACAGCACTCATGGTCCCGGGGGGATGGGGGGGGGGGGGGGACTGCGGTTTTGACGTATAACTGAATATAATAATAATAATAATATATAACTGAATATTTAACGAAAGAACTCAGTCAGACTATCTGTTACCTTTTTATGCCTGCTGAACTTTCAATAAGGCAAGGAGATAGAATACATCATGAGGAAAGATCTTTTACCGCGGGAAAATATACCTTATTCTCACGGGAAAATTTGATTTAATTTGAACTACAGGGTGGAAAACTGGTAGTAATCTAGTAAATTCATTCGTGGGCGAGCAAGCACAGGCTGGTCAGGCCCAGAAGAGGTGGGGGCGCATATTCATAGCTGACCTAAGGCTGTCAACACTCTATATCAGGCGTACGAGTTCACAGACTGCAGACTTCCTTACTTATCTACAGCTGACACGTAACACGTTGCAAGTCAATTGTCGATATTATTGTTGAGCGACAGCGCGGAACTTTTGTTTAGCAACGTCGTTTACACCGTTATGTCGTTGCGCGTCAATTATTGCCTATTGAATACATGGTTCAAATGAACCACATCGTCCGAAAATTGCCTTGTGAAGCGGTTTTCGAGATAATGGATAGTCAACTTTGCAAGTCTTTTAATTCTTTCCACACCTTCTAGACCGCTAATAGGCAGTTAAAAGTTGATAATTGATAGTAACAATATTATTACACATGTTTTCTGCAACCGGCAACAAAGCAAAGATATACATCTCACACATACATTTAATAATCTGGTCTGTAATAAAACGGTATTTAAATATAGCACCGCATGAAAACCGGTAATATATGACGTACCTAACACATAACAGTATCGCTTAAGGCAGGTTCTCGAGATAACGTTTTATGCACAAATTATAAAGATGTCATCGCATTGCACATTTTATATACAATAATCAAAAATATATTTCCGACTATGTAGTGGTTACCCCGAAGCTAACCCCTTAGTGTACCTAGTCTTCTCTCCATTTTTATCGCAATACGGGGAGATAGGATGAACACAAGGCGCTCGTAAAGTTTGCGCGTTACATAAGGCACTATAATATCTCCAGCGCAGTTGATACTTTGAAAGGTTAGAAAGAAATTACCATTATAATAACAAAGTAATACAACTTCAAGTCAAAAACATTTTTTTAGAAGCGATCCCTTTGACTGAGAAAAGGTAAAAATTCATAAAAGTATATTTAAGTATATTTGGATAACTTGGTATAATTTTGGATAAAATGGAAGAACGAAGGAAATCGTCGGAAATTTTTCAACCCTAAGTGTATAGGCAAAGCCCTAAGAAATTTAGCTTCAAACTTATCGTTTTCGCAAAAAATTTTTCGCCCTTATGAGCAATTTATCGATTTTTTTTTAAATACCTTATTGAATATCACCCAAAAATTTTGATTTTTTTCTATATCCCTTAATTTTGTGACTAGTGTATTTAGATAAAGAATGAAGCGTGCATATTAACAATAAAAGTAATTACTTTGTAATATAACGTTTCTATTTCGAAGTTAATTAATAGTATAGGTGCTTATTTTAAATTAACGCAGGTAATAAATAAATAAATAAAATATTGTGAGACACACTAAAGCAGTTTCAGTTCAGTCACTTAACGGTATTTGCGATTACAAGTAGAAGTGTGAAGAAAAAATACAATCGCCATACCACTAACATGAATTTCTCAAAGAACAGTCTACTTATTTAATATTATATAATAAATATTTATATTTAACTAGCTGGCCAGGCAGACGTTGTTCTGCCCTCTCCGACGAACCTGTGTCCTATAAAAGTTCTTAAATTTGTAATAAAAACCATTGAGGTTCACTTATAGGGATAAAAACTATCCTATCTCTCAAGATGGATCGATCTGCACACAGTGTTCAAAATTTCATTGCAATCAGTTTAGTAGTTTAGGAGTTCATCGCGGACAAACAATGTGACACGTAATTTTTATATATAAAGATTAATATTTACTTTACTTGAGAGTCTTATTTTTGTATAATATACATAAGTTGACTCAGTGACTATTATTAATGTTATTACCTTATTAGTTTTAAAACATTTTTTTTTCTAATTTAATAAACCTGACTGTCGTGTTTAGCTTTTTTATACCTAACGTCAAATATAAATTCTTGCTGATAATAATAATAAAATAATACATATTTTTTTTATAAAACTGAATAGACAAAAGAAACTTACAATTCACCCGATGGTAAGTGGCTACTCCAGCTCATAGACATTCTGCAGCGAACTTTAGACAAGGATCTGTGCTTTGAGCACTAAGGTGAATGCCTCACAGCCTGTAACTGTAATGGCTCTCTATATCTATACTCTTCACACCAGAACACAAGTGCAAGAGGCGGCTCGGGCTCGGCCCGACCGGGGTAGAACCACGCTCTCACAGAATACCAATGTAAAATAGCAGCTTAACGCTGCTGTGTTTCGTATGGTGAGTGTAGAGAACCGGAGAACCTTTTTACTGGAAACGAGGCGTTCCATTTTAGTCCTCAGGGGTGACATATGCATTTCGATTATTCACTGTGGATAAATATAGATGCCTACACAGCGATAGCCAGATCTACAGGGCTCACTTACCAACAGATCATGATACCGTTTGTGATTCTTATTCCATTAAAAAAATGCATGTGTTTATTTGTGTGGGAGGGTTGTGTATGCATTTGCTATTACAACGATAAATATTTCCAATGTATACGCTTTTACAACAATGTCCCAGGAAATAAATATACATGGTCTCTTTATTACCAAGTTTTTTTTAAACAAACACTGTATAAAAAGTGTTATATACATAACCTCTGGAAATGAAGTGATCGCCTCCAAGAAGTTTGTTAAATGATCAATATTCGCGAACCGTAATTAAATATGTGGTTATTGAGGTAACTGACACCACTGAGCAGAAATTAACTGAATATGTAAAAAAACGCAATTGGCGCCCAATGAGTCACTGGGATCATTGGTAAGGTCATTGGCATGACCGAGTCCACTATACTTAATTTAACTTTTATTAATGTTTCATTAAAAACTTAAATGTTTACCTGTGCCGACTTTAATACTCTGTTCGATGAAGTCTAAGTCAGTTGTAAGCCTTTTAATGAGAGTGAATGCGTTAATTGGGTTCCCCAAGTAGTTAGGAATGTCTTCCATAGCCATATCATGTTCTTTCCTGTAGATATTCAAGTGCCTAAAATAATAATAATGATTATTGGGTGTTAGATAACGAAAAATTAAAAATTTTGTACAACCGACTTCAATATAAATTATTAAGAGTAACTCAAAAACTATTGGTCAGACCTTGAACAAATTTATATGGGAACACAAATGAAGCACTACCTTTCAAATAAAAAAATAATCATCGAAATCGGTTCATTCATATGGTATGAGGTAACACACATAAAAAAACATACAGTCGAATTGAGTACCGTCTCCTTTTTGAAATCGGTAGAAAAACATAAAGATATATATATATCACAAAAAGTGTAAAATAGTATTTTAAATATAGTAATCTATTTTTGTTTTATAAGTATCGATAGCCGTGTAGTAGTAGCGTTTGAAAATTCTTTACACCAAGTTATCCCGTGAGTGTCGATGAGGTGATAAAAGTAAACTAAAACAGGAGATGGGCAACAGTATCTTTCTGATAACGTAAAATATTAAAAAGACCGCGGTTACACATCCGCCAGCTATGCGTGACAACTATTGCGAATTCCCCTATCAGGCACTGTATTGGATTTGTGAAGTACAGGCCCTTGAATGATGGCATATGAAGGAAAAGATCGATAACACTTCCCGTGGTCTGAAGGCTTCGTAAACATTGACAGAGTAAAATAGAAAATAAAAGCTTACAAAAAAAATAAAAAAATAGATGGTGAAATAGCTATTACAAGAAATCATCATGATGATTATAAACCGCCCCTCAAATTACCACAAAACACGGTAACCAGTATTCATCGACTCCAGTACGAACATGTTCTTCTAGAATTAAGTTCCAAGTATAGATCGTAATGAAATCCGTTTATGAAATCCGGATTAATTTTCAATTCCACCAAAGTAAATAATTTTGTATAGATTATTTAATATAATAGAACAATATTAAATCCGATCCTACCCCCATTGCTTTATCTAAAATTACTACACCAGGCATGAGAAGTGTGATTGCCTCTGATTTGGCTTGGAATTATAATTAAAATAAATTTACGCGATTGCTTATATATTTACGCGAATACTTACTACACATTAAATCAAACTAATTTTACGCATTTTATCGCGTTTAATTTTTTACCGACTTCTAAAAGGAGACGGTACTCTATTCGACAAAGTTTTTTTATGTGTGTTACCTCATAACTTTTTTCTGGGTGAACCGATTTCGATGATTCTTTTTTTTTATTTGAAAGCTGTTGCTTCTCGTGTGGTCCCATATAAATTTGATCAAGGTCTGACAAATAGTTTTTGAGCTATCCGTAATAATATATTATATTGAAGTCGGTTGTACAAAATTTTTAATTTTTAATTATAACTTTTTTAATTATCAGCTCTTCGGACACTTTACAGCACCCATCTCCATGGTGTTTACGTCACGATATCATGGTTAACGATATAAATTTTGTAAAAATTATAATTTAAAATTCCAATAAATTTTATATTTATGGCATCTTGTTCTTTTTTCAAAATCTCTTATTCGTGTTTCTTTGAGTATAGGTAGTTTTTTCTGCAATATAGCTTTATTTATAACCATTGACTCAAAAAAAGTCTTGTTATTTTTGAATATGAGAGTATGATATAATAATGATATACAACGTGAAAACAATGCATTTCAAACGGCACGCAATATCAATGACGGTCATGGACCTACAAGTAATAACGAACAAATTGTGCGTTATTGGTTCAATCACTTTCGTTACGACAATCGCGTACGTTCATCACAGTAGTTAAATCCGAGTTGGGCACCCGAGTCAGTAGTACTCAGATCAGTCAAACATATCCCATTGGTGAATTACTTTTAGGAAACTACCAGAGCTAGGTATTCTACTAAACTTACTTTCAATTTTTTAAGTTTATGTAACTTTTTGATGGGCAATAATTACAATTATGCAGAAGCAGTAAACAACATAATAAAAAGTTCATCGATTCGCGTGCAATAGCAATTAGGAAAATATTTTGAATAATTAGCTATTTTTGTAAAATAATAATTAAATTTTCTCTTACGAAACGGCAATCTCATTGGAAAAGACTTATAATCGAAGATGAAATTAGGATATTATAATTAAAAAGTAAAAGGAAATATTAATAACATCGTAATTACTTACTTTTTTAAAATGGACAATCTTTTCTCTTCTTTTTGAATATAATCATCCAAATCATCTATTATTTTTTTATGAGTCTCCAATAAAGGTTCGACTTCTGATATGGCTGTAAACAATTCTGCTCGCGTCCATGACCACAGGTTGAATGTTATTCCAAAGCATATAACATGTAACAGAGATGTGCGATGCATTTTGAGTGCCGGGTTCACTAAAAAAAACAATACAGACATTAATTTATCTATAGAAATAAATAAAATTGAAGTGTCTGTTTGTAATATCAGAATAACAGCTTTTTACTAAATACATATGAAAATATATACGATACTTATAACAAAAACAACTTTTTTTATTTTTGTCTGTCTGTCTGTTAGTTTCGGCTAATCTCCGAAACGGCTGGAACGATTTTGACGGGACTTTCACAAGCAGATAGCTGATGTTATAAGGAGTAACCTAGGCTACTTTTATCTTGGAAAAAGAATTAGGGTTCCGTGCAAAAAAAAATAAAACCCTAAATTAAACGCGGGCGAAGTCGCGGGAAACAGCTAGTATTATATAAAATACTTGGTCCACTCGGAAATTAGGGAGGATTTGCCTTAACTGCCAAGCTTGGAAACAGGAGCAACTTTAGACGATGTTTCACATCAATTGTACTTAAGTGATAAAATAAAAAAAAAACATAAGGCACTTATATGAATAAAATAAAAGTTTTATTGTATATAAAAATATTAAAGTCATATATACTCAAATTTGTGGGGTCTAGTAAGTGTGATAAGAGGCGACAGAGAGCAACTTAAATAGGAGATGAGCAGCAGCATCTTCCTGATAAATGCAGATGCCAACCAGCCTGCTAATCGGGGCAACTGTAGCAAATATCCCCCCCCCCCCATGGGGCTATCTATGGGGGAGGCCTATGTTCAGCAGTGAACTTTAACAGACTGTAACGGTAACAGTAATATCACTTATCATTTAAATGCTTCCAGGGATGTTTCAAGATTTAATTTCTGACATTTTAATATCCAAGTTACAAAAGTTGCGCACGCACCTTGTAAATCAATAATACCCAAATACTCAAACGCTGCTCAGTTTTAAGATGCCGTTAAGTCTCGTGCGTCTCTTGTGAAGTCACTTATTAAGTGACGAAGCTTGCGAATGCGAAGTCACTTATTAAGTGGCGAAGCTTGCGAAGTCACTTATTAAGTGGCGAAGCTTGCGAAGTCACTTATTAAATGGCGAAGCTTGTGAAGTCACTTATTAAGTGGCGAAGCTTGCGAAGTCACTTATTGATTTCACGATGTCTGTCCGTCTGTCCATCTGTCCCACGATTATCTCGAGAACGGTTTCGAATTTTGAAATTCTGTTTTCAGCAATCGATTACTGATCACCCAGGCATCTGAACCTCCTATTTTGAAACTGATTGCTCAACGGCAACCGTTAGAAACCGCTACAAAGCTGATTGCTTCGCCACTTTGCTATGCTGTTAGCTTGCTAGGTTTATTAAGTCGGTGATTGTGACACCGCGAGACATCTTAAAATTGAGTAGCGTATGAGTATTTGGTCATAAATCTGGTAAATGTTTACTTTCATTCAGTAAGTTTTATACATTATATTACTTTTTTGAAACACATAATTTAATACTGAAAAACAAACATATACATAAGAAAAACATTTACATAAGCTAGAGATACCATCCATACCATCTGGATGAATGACGGTCCACCACTGTGCGATTTAGAAGATGTTTTCTTCCTCGCACAACTTCCTTGTGGAATCGATTACTACCGGCGATTTTTCGAACCGATACGACTTAGGGACCTTCAAGAAAAGAGCCTACTCCTTTTTAAAAGGCCGGCAACGCATCTGCAATTCCCCTGGTGTTGCAGTTCTTCATGGGCGGCGATAGTCACTTACCATCAGGTGAGCCGCATGCTCGTTTGACCCTCTACTATAAAAAAAAAATTCCTAGTGTGGTATAGATCTATACATTGGGAATTTCATCTGTATAGGGATTGTGCATTGCATTATAGTAAATGCACTATATACACAGGCGAATACCTAATGGATAAGTATCTTCTATCTCAACAGCACAAAATACAGATACCACCCATAGTTAACCAGGCAATTAGACATGTGGCAAGTCGATTGTTTAGATGTTATCTTTATTACAAAAACAATACTCTACGGGATCTTAGCAACTGACAAAAAACGCGGATGACTTATTTTTTAATATTTAAGTTTTTTTTAAAGGTTGGTAAAAACGAACTATATAGTTCGTGCAATTAGAAACAATAAAATGTTTTGAATTCTAAAACATATTGTTAAAAGTATATTTCAATATTCTCGTGATCACGACGTAATAGTGGTTTTATTATCAAAGCACGATTAAAGTATTTCACAATTTTAACAAGCACTGAAATTAAAAAAAAACCATATAAATTTATTTTGTGCAATACTACTTTGTAGAAACTTAAAAGGGAAAATACCTATTCTAGAAAAAGTTCTCTACAGTTCAAGATTCAAAAGTAACAGCAGATTAGTAAAAACATAACATGCTAAAACAAAATGTTTCCTACATTATAATTGTTGCAATATAATGATAAACGACCATATGATCTAATTAAAAAATGTGTCACACAATATCATCATATACTTACAGCATTAATTGTACTTACTGTAGCTTACTTACTTCAATAACCTAAGCAGACATCACAACAACATTCATATATTACTTATTTGTGATATTTAATTTGATTTTCAAAATAAGAATTTAATTCACAGGAAGTAATAATATGAGATCGAAAACAAACAAGCACACGCGCAGTTCGTACGTGCTGAGTGCGCCAGCAGCCGACACAATAGTTAGTCAGGTCAACGTACAAATAAAATCGGTCCGTTCGGAAGCTGGCGGCGAGTTGGCGACCTTATCTAACGCGTTGGAGACATGATGTATCATTAATGAATTTGATACCCATTCAACGCTTGGTATAAAAAATAACTTTAGTTGACTCCGCGTCCCACTTTTTCGTTCAACTGTTCTCCGCCTGATTAACGACCTCAACAAACTGTTTAATGTACAATTTAAATTAATATTTATAGTATAAAATATTTAAAGATAGCGTTTCTAATTTTAAATACCTTTTTTTTATATTATCAGTGCCGGCCGGCGCGAACGTGACTACGTTCAACGGAAGCTTATCTTGCATTTCACCATGAAGCAAATACAAAGTAAAAAAAAAGCTTTGTATTTGCTTCATGCATTTCATACATTCGGACCACACAGTATAAGAACTTACGAGTTAACAGATATATTTAGTTCATTAGGATATTTTAATAAGAAAATCAGAGTGCTCGATTTAAAAAAAAACTGCTACTGGATGTGTATTCTCATATTTAATTAACTACCCCAAAATATAAAAGACCCCCCTACCCCTTAATAGATTTAAAGGCGCTTTTTACAGGTGGCTAAATGAACATTGTTTTTATAATGTGAATGACTACCTAAATTTGACATGATGTGACACAACAGTAGTTATATATTTTTAATTAAATTTTAATCTTAGTTATATTTAAATTTTGTATGTATTGGTATTGCTCATTTGTAAACATTGACATGATGATAAATATTTTAATTGAATTTTATATTGTAATATGATAAATTTAACTATAAAAAATGTATTTGCATGCTATTATAGATGGCTGAAAAAGCTGATCAACACTATATAATAACCACCTAAATGTACCCCTTTTTCAAAGCAAATAAATCTTCATTTCATTTCAGTCAATCCCTCATTAATAGTGACGCGAATAACAAACAGTCTCGACATAGGGGTATAAGCCAAAAGTTTCATGACAAGCAAGCTGCGCATGTTTCTGTAAAATGTTCACGCAAGTTGTGAACTTCCGCTAATAAATATACATTACAGCTATTTAATGAGAAGTAAAAACCGATCTCAAGGAATTCATAAGAATAAAATAATTTTCGCATAAGCTCCTGAAGTTGGTGCTAAGACAAAGTTCATCGAGAATTAAAACCTCACATCGTAAGCTCAATGTAACAACTAGAATCTCATCTAAAACTTAAATACTTTAACATTTAGGGGTGGAATTTCTTCTTCAAATCTCTCTTGAGGTATAACTTATCTATATAAATAAATAAAATTGAAGAGTCTGTTTGTTATGTCAAAATAACAGGTTTTTACTAAATCCACATGAAAGTATATACGGTATTTATAATAAAAACACGATTTTTAAAATTTTTGTATGTCTGTCTGTCTGTTTATTCTGGCAAATCTCGGAAATGGCTGAACCGATTTTTACAGGACTTTCAGTGGCAGATAGCTGATATTATAATGAGTAACTTAGGCTACTTTTATTTTAGAAAAAGAATTAGGATTCCGCACAAAAAACATAAAACCCTAAATTAGGTACACGAGGGCGAAGTCGCGGGGAATAGGTAGTTTAATAATAAGAATAATTGCGTAACATACATACAAAAAATCACACCTACTGGCGTATCGAGTATCTCCTGCAAAGAACGTCCAGAAGTACTCGTACACTAAACTGAAACCGTCTTGTTACAAAAAAAGAGTCAAGATAGTATCAGATTTAAAGTCTGATTTAAAGTCATAAGGACTATATCCTCGGCAAATCGAAGGTGAGTGATGTACTCGCCGTTGATGTTAATACCGTATCCTTTCCAGTCCAGAAGCTTGAAAACGTCTTCCAATGCAGCGGTGAGGAGTTTCGGGAATGTAACGTCACCCTCTCTGCAATTGGATAGGTTTCGTACTCTGGTTCTGTACTCGGATAGCCATCGTAGCCCTACTGTACAAGCACCTCGGCACTTCAATATACCGACAGTCAACTTGGCACCGCTGAAGGGACTGCAGCACCGTCCAAATTTCGACGGAATAAAAGGCTTTCTTATAATCCACATACGCCAGATATAGTGGCAAATTGTACTCCTTGGACTTCTGTACAATTTGCCGAAAGGTATTTATGTGGTCTATGGTGCTAAAGCCTTTTCGGAAACCGGCTTGTTCTTTTTGAATTTTGAATTATATAATTAGAAGAAAAATTCGAAAATTAACTATTTAGATTTTATTATATTAACTTCTTTAATCTTTATATAGGGAGAAAGTATTTGTCAGTAGGCTGACATTGATCATGAAGTAAGAGCGATGAAACACTGAAT